CGTGCCACTGGGGAGCGCGAAACATGTTGGCGTAAATGCGGCGCGTCGCTGGTGAGCGGGATGATTGGCGGTATCGTGTGATAGGATTGCTTCTAGTGTGTGGGCAGACCGTGCGGCGAATTACGTCCGCGATGTCGCAGTGCCATGCGGATTTGCGCGGCCTTGGTGGAAAGTGCGTTTGCGTGGCGCCGTATTATTGGTTAGCGCGAAATTGGCTGGCGTAAATGCGGCGTGTCGCTGGCAAGCGGGATGATTGGCGGTCTCATCGTGTAATAGGATAATTTCTAGTGCGTGTGTAGACCGCGCGGCGAATTACGTCCGCGATGTCGCAGTGCCATGCGGATTTCGGCAGCCTTGGTGGGAATTACGTTGGCGCGGCGCCGTGCCACTGGGGAGCGCAAAACATGGTGGCGTAAACGCGGCGTGTCGCTGGTGAGCGGGATGATTGGCGGCAACGTATGATAGGATTGCTTCTAGTGCGCGGGCAGACCGTGTGGCGAATTACGTCCGTGATGTCGCAGCGCCATGCGGATTTGCGCGGCCTTGGCGGGAAGTCCGTGAGCGCGGCGCCGTGACATTGGGGAATGCGAAACACGCCGGCGTAAACGCGGCGTGTCGCTGGTGAGCGGGATGATTGGTGGCATCATGTGATAGGATTGCTGCTAGCGCGTGGGCAGACCGCGCGGCGAATTACATCCGTGACGTCGCAGTGCCATGCGGATTTGCGCGGCCTTGGCACAAAGTGCGTTTGCGTGGCGCCGCGCCACTGCGAAATATGGCGCGCAAACGCGGCGTGTCGCTGGTGAGCGGGATGATTGGCGGTATCGTGTGATAGGATTGCTTCTATAGTGTATGGGCCGACCGCGTGGCGAATTACGTCCGTGATGTCGCAATGCCACGCGGATTTGCGCGGCCTTGGTGGGAAATACGTTTGCGCGGCGCCGTGCCATTGGGGAGCGCGAAATATGTTGGCGTACACGCGGCGTGTCGCTGGTGAGCGGGATGATTGGCGGCGTCACGTGATAGGATTGTTGCTAGCGTGTGGGCAGACCGCGTGGCGAATTACGTCCGCGACGTCGCAGCGCCATGGTGGAAAATGCGTTTGCATGGCGTTGCGCCGCGCGAAACATATTGGCGTAAACGCGGCGTGTCGCTGGTGAGCGGGATGATTGGCAGTAGCATGTGATAGGATTGCTTCTTCTCATATTTTCTCATTTTGTTGCATTTTGTTCAATACCTTTTTATCCAAAATTCAATATCTCTGCTACGTCTGCTCGCCTCCTCTACGCCACTTATTCTTGTCATCACATCTTCTCACAGATCTCACTTTATATCTATTTTCTCTTCTCCTTTCTTCTCACCTCTTCTTGTATCTTCTTCACCACTTCTACATCCTGAATCATCAGAAATTAACATTCATGTTCTACATCTACAAACTTAACATCTACATCTTTTCTTTTTCTCGCTCTCGGGCCACCCGTCGTCTAGTTCCAATGACGGTGTGTATCGACGCATGCAGGATGAATGCCGGCAGAAGATCGCGAGCTGACGGAGTTGCTTGACGAAGCTCGTGCAACAAGCCAGGAATTTTGCCATTCTGCACAGCATAGCTGAGGGTTTTTTTGAAATTATGAGCACATTGAAATCATTGATTCCAGATCCAAATCACATATATCTCGTCGGAGAAATAGAAGTGAAACCTCTCTTGACCTTGCAGGAATTGAATTTTTCTTGTGTCCCTCAGTCTTGCAAGGCCAGGGCATTTGTGGGCAGCTCAAGTTGCTTCTTCGTGCATTGGTCCTCAAATAATGCAAGGTTCTTTTTGTGCCATGTAGGCCCCAGCTGCTTGGACTGGAGTGCCGGCCCGATTCTGCAAATTTCAGACACTGCAAGTTGCAGACACTTGTGTAAAGGGCAACCTTGTTGCGTTCCAATATTGCATCTCTGTTTTCTTTCAGGCACGACCCCAAACAACGGAGACCAAGAACGGAAACCAGGCGCCGCCATATATTTTCCTTTCAGCTGTTTGCGCGAAACACCTTTCTCTACGCCCACACACCATCCAAATTGGATAGATAGAAGCACAACTACGGGATTTACGCCAAGGCAACCGGCTCTTGAGGGCTGCAGCTACCCGCACGCACCCCCCGAACGCATTGTGTGCTTCACCGCACCGACTGTCACAGGCGCCCAGCCACATGAATTGGAATGTATCGCACGCTAGCGTAGCTTGCTACGCCTTGCACACTGCAATAGTTGTCACCTTCACCGAGCACCGTCCATCTGCATGTCGCGCGCCACGCGCCGTCCATAAGCTTGTTACACGCCGATGATTCCATTTTGGCTCGCAAAGGCGCATTGGGCTCATAACCTGTGTTGGATAGGTGCAAGCCCAGCTAGCAAATCCGCCCGCACCGAAGGTGCTGAGGCGTTTTATAGGGCATGCTTGCAATCCGTTAGTATCGTCAGTATACAATAGCTTTAGCTAGGGGGGGGGCATTTTTGCTCTAGAATCCTGTGTTTTTCACGTTTTTGGAACCGGCTTAAAGTGCTTTCGTGCTAATGTTGGGTATCTTGAAGGCTTTAGGGATGCAAGAAATGCGAGTTTCTGCTTTGCATCATCTGCATCATCTGGACATTTGGCTGAACAGGTTCCCCTAACGGGGCTCAACATAGCTTCCATATTGCGTAACCACTATCTAACGGACGTGTCTGCGAGATAGGGACTTGAACGTCCGGG